TTTTGAGTGCTTAGTTGGAGATAAGAGTCTCCCAGAGACTTTAAACCACTATCCTCAGATCTCAGCCTCCTGAATAGCTAGGATTACAGGTATGAGCCACCAGTGCCTGGCTTTTCTCCTCCCTCCCTCCCTCCCTCCCCCCTTCCTTCTTTCCTTCCTTTTTGCTTTAGTTATTTTCAGCCTCAGCTTGTCCAAGGTTAGCATTAGACCACGACCTTCCTATGCCTCCTGTTGAGCTGGAATTACAGTCATGCATCATGGAGAATGACTTATAGCAATTTTTTTTTTGGTCGGTCGTGGGGCTTGAACTCTGGGCCTGAGCACTGTCCCTCAGCTCTTCAGCTCAAGGCTGGTGCTCTACCACTTGAGCCACAGCACCACTTCTGGTTTTCTGAGTGTTTACTGGAGATAAGACTTTCACGGACTTTCCTGCCTGGGCTGGCTTTGAACTGCCATCCTCAGATCTCAGCCTCTTGAGTAGCTAGGATGACAGGCGTGAGCCAATGGTGCCCGGCTCACTTATAGCAATTTAAAGTGGCTTCCCTCCCTCCCTCCTTTCCTTCCTTCCTCTCAGAAAGGCCCTAGGTTGGAATCCCAGTCCAACCAAAAAAGAAAGAAAGAGGGAAAGAAAAAGAGGGGAGGAGAGACAGAAAGCAAGCAAGCAAGGATGAATAAAAAGGAAGGAAGAAGGCAGGCAGGCAGGAAAGAAGGCAGGTAGGCAAGAAGGGGAGGAGGAAGGGAGAAAGGGAGGGGGACAGGGAGGTAGGAAGGGAAGAGGACAGGAAGGAAAGGAAAGAGGGAGGGAAAGGAAGGAAGAGAAGAAGGAAAGAAAGGCGGGAGGGAAGTAGACTAGCAATTATTAGGAGTCTAAGCAAGAAGGAACGAGAAGAGTTGGGCACTGGCAGCTCACGTCTATAATCCTAGCTACTCAGGAGGCTGAGATTTGAGGATTGCAGTTCAAAGCCAGCCTGGAAGGTAGAGGAGACTCTTATCTCCAGTGAACCACCAGAAAACCAGTGGCACTGTGGCTCAAGTGGTAGACTGTGGTCCTTGAGCAAAGGACAGCACCCAGGCCCTGAGTTCAAGACTCAACACCAGCACAAAGTAAAACAAATAAACTGGAAGGTCCTGTTATTCGTTGTCTCTAGTCCTCAAATACCTTTTTCTTTCTTTCCTTTCTTTCTTTCGCCAACCCTGGGGCTTGAACTCTGGGCCTGGGCACTGTGCCTGAGCTTCTTTTTTTACCACTTGAGCCACAGCAACACTTACTGCTTTTCCTGTTTATGTGGTAGTAAGGAATCAAACCCAGGACTTCATGCATGCTAGGTGAGCACTCTACCACTGAGCCACAGTCCCAGCCCCATGTTGCTGTTTTTTTAGGTTAACATCAACGGAGAAACAGAACCTAATGTCCTGTGGGGCAGCATCCATGCCTGGATTTCCTGGTCGACAGCGCCCCCTGGTGTTAGCTTCCATTAATGTCCTGAGCTCCCCGGGAAGCTGGGCAGGGCAAAAACCAGTTAGTGGCAGTTGGTTTCAGGAGATTTTCTGCCATGGATTGCTGTCTAAGAAGTTACCTGCCTTTTGAATCTTAAACACGTGCTGCCTGTGTGTTTAAAATGAGGGTTTGCAATCCGGACACTAGCTACTCAGAGATCTAAGAGGATCATGGTCCAAAGCCAGCCTGGCCAGGAAAGTCTGTGAGACTCATCTCCTATGAACTATTAAAAGCCAGAAGTGGAGCTGTGGCCCAAGTGGTAGAGCAAAATAGCTCAGGAACAGTGCCCAGGCCCTGAGTTCAAGCTCCAGGACTGAACAGATAAGACACACCCAGACACACACATGGACACACACACACACACCCCTGCCTTCATAGGGCTTGGAAGTTTTAAACTTGCTTGGCTGAAAGGCTTTGGTGAGTTCTGGTAATTGGTATGCAGGGGGCACATCATCACGTTGGAGCCGTTCTGAAAGGAATCACTCAGGGTGAAAACTTGAGTTGAAGTGAAGGGAAGGGAAAAGAAGAAGTGTGCAGGTCGTCGCAGGCTCTTCTGAGACGGGAGAGGCTGCTCCACTTGTGTGCCAGACATCGGGAGCCTGTGGCAGGGCCCCGCCTTCGCCCTCACTCCACCTGACCACATTTGGCTGAGATTCGCATCTGTGTCCCATCGGCCTGGGGAACAGACTTGTGAGCACAAGGGATCTTAGGACAGTCTCGCTCTGTGGACAACAAAGTGTGCAAAGGATAGCTGTATGATACACCAACACATTTTAAAGAAAACACTCAAGATGTGTTTACTTGAGTGTGTGTGCACAAGTACTGGGACTTGGACTCAGGGCCTTGCACTCTTGCTTAGCTTTTGGTACTCTAGGCTGGTGCTCTACCACTTGAGCCACACCTCATCTCTGGCTTTTTGCTGGTTAACTGGGATCTAAGAGTCTCCTGGACTTTCCTGTCTGGGTTGGCTTTCAAACCAGATCATTGTAGCCCTGACTGCTGCTTCGCTCATCTTTCTTTCTCCAGGTCTTCAGGGGCCCCAAGGAGTCACCTTGTTTCTCTGGACAATATTCCCTACTCCCTTGTCTGGAAGAGGAGCCAGCAAGCAGAGCTCCTGGGTCCACGTTCACTGGCTTGGGTGTCAGGAAAGGTATGGACCACTTTGATGTGCATTAACTAGAAGTTCAAAGAAGAGCCAGGTGCTGGTGGCTCATGCATGCCTGTCACCCTAGCTACTCATGAGGCTGAGATCTGAGGATGGTTGCTCGAAGCCAGATGGGGCAGGAGAGTCCATGAGAATTTTATTTCCAATGAACCACTAAAAAGCCATAAGCAGATTCGTGGCTCAGTGTGGTATAGTGGTAGCCTTGAGCAGAAAAGCTCAGGGACAGCACCCAGGACCTGAGTTCAAGTCCAGGACCAGGAAAGAAAGAAAGAAAGAAAGAAAGAGGGGCTGGGAAGGTAGCTCAGCGGTAGAGTGCTTGCCTTGCAAGCATGAGGCCCTGGGTTCGATTCTGCAGCACCACATAAAAAGAAAAAGCCGGAAGTGGCGCTGTGGCTCCAGTGGTAGAGTGCTAGCCTTGAGCTGAAGAGCTGAGGGACAGCACCCAGACCCAGATTTCAGGCCCCATGACCGGCAAAAAAAAAAAAAAAGAAAGAAAGAAAGAAAGAAAGAAGGAAAGGAAGGAAGGAAGAGAGAAAGAAAGAGGAGGAAGAAAGAGGAGGAAGGAAGGAAGGAAGAAGGCAGGCAGGCAGGCAGGCAGGAAGGAAGGAAGGAAGGAAGGAAGACAAAGCAAGAATGTTGGCTTAATGAGCTGCGGAGTAGGTTCGTGGTGGTGTGATTCCTTAGTTTGTGGTAAGTCCTTTGACAGGAGGGGAGGGTGTTAGGTTTTTACAAAGAGATTGCCGAGTAAGAACAGCACCACGCACGTGGTATTTAGGTAAGGAGTAGGTTTATTCATCATTTGGGCTGGCACCAGGCCACGATGGCCCTCCACGCGGCTGGGAAAGAGGTGGGAAAGAGGTGGGAAAGAGCTGAGAAAGAGCTAGAAAAGAGAAGAGAGAGCTGGGAAAGAGCTGAGAAAGAGCTAGAAAAGAGCAGAGAGAGGGTGTCTGGGCCTGCGCTAGGCCTTATCTAGGGTCTGGGCGGAGAAAGGTGTGGCCACATCAAATTCGGATGTGACCTCTTCCAGGTGTGCCAGTTGCCTAGGTAACGCAGGTACTGGGTGGAGACTTTGCTGCGAGGAGGGTGGAGTCCGCTGGCCATCCAGGAGCGGACCTTACAGAGGGGAATGGAGGAAAGAGGAGTAAGGGAGGGAGGAGGAGGAGAATGAAGATGAGGGGAGGAGGAGGACTGAGGGGAGGAGATGGCTGTGGCTGGGCCATTCTCTCCTCCATGTCCTCACAAACCCTCATCCTGCCCCCACTGCACCCCCGCCCCCACCCACAAAATGACATCAAAGCTCCTCACCGTCCCCGGGCGCCCAGCGACTCAGGCCGGGATCTTCCTGCCCTGGGATCTGACCAGCCACAGGGGTCGCAGGCTGGCCCTTGGGGGTCTTCCGTTATCTACTGCAGAGGGGTGGGGGGAAGGTTCTGGTGGGAGGAGTCTCGTGGGAGGAGCTTCCGATGGGAGGAGCTTCCAGTGGGAGGAGCTTCATGGGGAGGAGCCTCCGGCCTGTGGTGAACAGCTCATCTCCTCTTCCACTCTGATGCTCCTTCCGGGTCAGCATCCTTCCGGGGGCTTTTGGTACCCAACTTGCCAGGTTGAGGACCCGGCGGTCGGGCGGCGCAGTTCCTGGACCGGACGCCAGAGGGCGCCGTGCGCAGGGCCCCGGGCGCCCGGGCGCGCGCCCTGGCGCGGAGACGATGCCCTGGGCGGTTTATTCTTGGCACCAGCGGTGAACTTTGGCCCTGGGAAGTCATCCGAGCCCAAGCCCCAGATTCTGGCTCCGTAGCGCGGTCACTGCGCGGCAGCCACGGGAGCTCTAGCTGGGACTGCAGCGCGAGTCCCGGCTGCCCGGCTCAACCCCGGGTTCCGTGTCACCTGGAGACAGAAGGCGGCCTGTGGGTGCCCCGTACCCCGCCTAGCGCGGCAGACGGCAGCGGCCACACGGGGGGCCTTTCCTGGCCGGGTGGCCTTGGGCATCCCGATCCCCCTTCCCCTGGCCCAAACTGCCTACTTGACACATTCGGGGCCATGGTCCTTGGGAAAGCTTCTAGAAGCATCTTCCAGATTGTAGCTGGTTCAAGGCCAGCCCTGGGGTGTCCGCAGGCCTGGCTTCGGTTCCAAGGCTTTCCACCTCTGGCTTTCTGCCCCGGGGCGCGAAGTCCGTGCGCCCGGGGGATGGTGTCAGGGGTGGGGGTGGGGTCTGGGGACCCCATCTCTACAGCCTTGACCAGCAATCGGGGACGAGCTTCCGTCCCGGATCCTGCCCCAACGGAGCAGGGACGGGCGGGCAGCGCCCTTCCCCGAAGGCTGGAGGGCGGGGCCTGCGCGGGGGATCAGGGTTAAAGGATCAGGGTTCGTGGCCTCAGACTCCTCACGGGCTCGGCGCCGCAGCAGCCGGGAGAGCAGGTAACCGGGCGCCTCGGGGGCGGGGCGGGGTGGGACGATCTGGGACCCAGGAGAGCCTCCCGGGGCCCGGGACGCGGCTGGGAGAAACTGAGGCACCCAGAGGCTTCACCTAAGACGGCGCACCCGGACACACCGGCGCTCACCAGCCTGTAATCCCGGAGTGGGTGTGTGAGATGCATATGAGCGCATCCCACGAGCTGATGCCTGGTCCAGCATGCGCACAGCCGGCTGGCGGCGGGGGACGGGGGGGGGGGGGGGAGAGGGGGTCCAACTCCGGTTTGGTGCAGGGCTAAGATGGGTCCGGACTCGCGGGGGGGGGGGGGGCATGGGCAGCCAGGCCATGAGGGTCATCTCTGGGCAGCCCTGCGCTCCTGCCACCCAGGAGAGCAGGGCCAGCCAGGCACCTAGGGACGTGTGAGATCCGGAAGATCGGGGTTCCAAGCCAGCCCCACCCCCCCAAGGGCAGGAACAGTCAGAAGACGCCCATCCTCAGCTCAGCAGCAGAAAGCCAGCCGTGCTGTGTGGCTGGCCCTGGCCCTGACTCAGGCAGTGAAACACAGTCTGCGGCCCCAAGCCGGGCGGGTCTGTATCCTGTGCACACGCAGGAGGAGTGTGCGCAAGCCCAGGACCGAAAGCTGTGCAACTTCCCAGACGCAGAAAGCGCTGAGGACCGCGGCCTTGTCTCTTTTTAAAAAATTACTTTTATTAGTGTGCATATTTATCTATTGAGCAGTGCTGGTGATCACACTCAATAGTGGGCTTCATCTCTGATAGTGTTAAAAAGAAAGGAAGAAGTCCCAGCATTGGCACAAAAATACATACACACAAATGCTTGCACTACCAAAAGTGCTTGGTCAATACCAAGCCCACTTTCTCCAGCCCTTCCCTTTAACAAGCACCTCAACACATCGGCCTGAAGAGGAAGAGGAAGACCTTCCCTCCCCCACCCTGGCTGTAAGAAACAGAACCAGCTCCTCTATTTTCCTGTTCTATTTTACTTTTAGTTTTGTTTTTGCGGATACTAGGGACTGGAACTCAGAGCCTTAACTTCCTTGCTCCAGGCTGATGCTCTACCACTTAAAACACGGCTCCACTTCTGGCATTTTTCTCCCTTGTACTTTTTCCACAGGGTGATCATTATGTCCACCAAGGTCCAAGACATCATGCAGCTGCTCTGCTTCATCTGTAAGCAGGAAAAAATGCAGGCTGCCATGAAGCATTCTGGGAAGGGCGCCCTGATCACTGGAGCCGGAGCCTTGATCGGTGGCATGGTTGGTGGCCCTCCAGGAATAGCTGTTGGTAAGTATGACTCTTTCACACACACACCGCTGTTTGGGTTGGTGTTGTTCAAACAGTCTTTGAAAGCATACCAGAGGATCACAGTTAGAAGCAGCCCAGGCAGGAAAGTCCATGAGACAGTACCTCACACTCTTGCTTAGCTGGCTGTCTCACAGCTCAGCTTTTTATTCGCTCACTAGGGAGCAGAGTTGCTGGTATTACAGTCATGCGCTTCTGGTGCCTATCTATGACAGAAGTTTTATTTTGGGTGAAATGTGTGAGGGGGACGGGGGCCTTTCTTTGGCCTGTGTGTGTGTGTGTGTGTGTGTGTAGGGGGTGTTGTATAGCACAGGTGTTCAGTGGAGATGGGGAATGGAGAGGGGGCTTCATTGTGTATCTGTAAGTGTGGGCAACTGGGGCAAGAGACATACTTGGGTATCCAATAATTAAAGATGCTGAGCGCTGGGTGGCTCACCCCTGTAATCCTAGCTACTCAAGAGGCTGAGATCTGAGGACTGCGGTTCAAAGCCAGCCCAGGAAGGAAAGTCCGAGAGACTCTTATCTCCAATAAACCACTCAGAAAACCGGAAGTGGCGCTGTGACTCAAGTGGTGGTGTGCTCACCTTGAGCTGAAGAGCTGAGGGACAGCGCCCAGATCCCAAGTTCAAGCCCTAGGACTGGCACAAAAATACCCCCAAAGAACAATGCCAACCACAAAAAAATAAAAATAAAATAAAACCTTTCCTTCACAGTATGGAGAGGCTTTGAGTGGGAACCTTGGGTTAGCCCAGTATCGACTCTCTGGCCTTTGTATTTTCTAGGGGGCGTTGTTGGGGGTCTTCTCGGAGCCTGGATGACCAGAGGCCAGTTTAAGCCAGTCCCGCAGATCTTGATGGAGCTGCCTGCCTCTGAGCAGCAGAAGCTGTTTGCCCAAGTGATGGCCATTTTGCAGAGTTTGGACTGCACGGACGTGAAGCAGCTCATAACGCTGGTCAAGGGCAGCAAGAGTTGCCAGCAGCAGCTGCTGGCCCTCGTGATCTGCTACTTCACCAAACATCTGGGGGCCCAGATTCAATATGGGAACTAGATGGCTGTCTCTCACTGGAAGCCGGGGTTGCTCGGCCGCAGATGCAACCTTGGTGCTGAGTTCTAATCCTGTGGTGGGGTTTGTGTTGCAGTGGATTTGGGCCCCAACAAACCTGTGATGTCCAGTGGTGTGAGAAGGGAAGAAAGCGCTCTAGTGCTGAGTTTAAGCCTCCCTACTGGCACCAAAAAAATAAAACAAAAGCATGGCTTCCTGAAAGCACGTTTTCCCCATTGTTCTTTCTGTTTCTTTAGGGAACTGACCACAGTCTGTAGTTACTGGGTCAAAAAACAAAAATGACAAGGGATTGAGTTTTAACAATTAGAATAGTCGGGTGCAGTGGCACACACCTGTAGTACTATTTTATGGGAATTCCATTATGAGGTACAGAAAAGCCAGAGACTGCATGGTAGTCTCCTGTCTGAAGACCTGCAGCCTCAAATACACTTAACACAGTTAGAAAACTAAGCCATGAAGCCAGGCGCCTGTAATCCTAGCTACTCAGGAGGCTGAGATCTGAGGATCGTGGTTCAAAGCCAGCCCGAGCAGGAAAGTCCGTGAAACTCTTGTCTCCAATAAACCACTAGAAAACTGGAAGTGGCGCTGTAGCTCAAGTGGTAGAGCGCTCGCCTTGAGCTGAAGAGCTGAGGGAGACAGCACTCAGGCTCAGAGTTCAAGCCCCACGACTGACAAATAAAAAAGAAAAAAAAGAAAGAAAACTAAGCCATGAGGATAGCAAAGCAAATAGCCGAAAAACAATGTCAACAAACCAGATCAACACCAAGAGAGAGCTGGAGTTCCTGGTCCAGTAACCCGTTGTCCAAGTCCTAGCCTGTGCCTCTAGGAGTTCTGGCATGCCCATTCCCTGGGAGGGGGACTTCACCTTCCTCCACCTTGAAGACAAGTTGGTGCCAGCTAAACTCAATTTCCTACCATCCACCACGATGCCAAGGTGGCATCTGTGTATCCTGATTTCATTCCCCACTGGTTTTATGCACATCAGTGAAATCATTGATTCTTCAGTGAGAGGGCTGGATTGGGCCTTTAAGATCCAGTTATTACGACTTGAAACACGTTTACAAGAGAGGCTTTCCTATCCTAGATCTGTATTATTAGTGTAAACACTTCATGTTTTCCCGGAGGTTATGCAGAGATCCCTCTTTGGTTGGTGCCTGTGCTGATCCCAACTGCAATCTGAGGAGTCTCTAGCAGTGAAAGTTGGCTCTGTATGACTGACTCCTATCTAGTCTGGAGGCTTTGGACTCAAACACAACGAGTAATCCTTTCAGAGATCAGGCTGGCTCAGGTCTACAAATATCTGCATCACAGACACAAAGGAGGCTCTAGGGAAGGGGTTGACAGAAAGGGTGATGGGTCATGTGATGCGAAAGTCTTAGCTCCAGCAGATCCGAAGTGGTGTGTGCCTTCTGTCCTGAGTCGGCAGGTTTTAGCTGTGTATGAAGCCAGGCAGGGTCCCATCTGCTTTTACCACAGGGGGGTGGAAGGGGGGGGAGAGGGAGGAGGGGGATGATCCGGATGTAGGGTCCCTTCCAGGTGGCTGTGAGGCCATCCTCCATGAAGTTCTCACCTGAAATGGAATTTCTGAGTTGGAAGGGATGGGCTGGATCGGAGCTGGGCTCCTTTATACGCCTCCTGCTGAGTTGCCTGCAAGTTCTGCAGAGATTTAAGTTGAGGGAGCATTATTAACTTACCCTAAGGCAGGGGGCCTGACTTCAGTGAAATCTGTCTCCCCGTGCTCTCCTGACTGCTTCCTCTGAGTACGCTGGCTTGGATGGCAGGCTAGGGCCAGAAACAGTCAAAAACATATTTAGGGGCCCCACTGGCTCTGTGTGTGTGTGTGTGTGTTTCTTTTCTTTTTTTTTTATAAACAAGATAGAACAAGAATCATCAGAATCATTTCAGCAAAACACTATCATTGAGGTAAGTTAAAAAAAATCCAGTGAGGGCTGGGAAGGTGGTTCAGTGGTAGAGCACTTGTCTTGCATGCATGAGGCCCTGGGTTCCATTCCTCAGCACCATATAAGCAGAAAAAGCTGGAAGTGGCACTGTGGCTCAAGTGGAAGAGTGCTAGCCTTGAGCTAAAGAGCTGAGGGATAGTGCCCAGGCCCAGAGTTCAGGCCCCATGACCGACCAAAAAAAAAAAAAAAGGTTAAAAAAATGCAATAAGATAGACACTGTAAAAGCTATTGTTGATTTTCTCTTCTTTCTTTTTCATTTTAGTTAATAATGCCTCAGACCTGGAGCAATCCTAGAATTCTTTCCAGGATCATCTTTTCCCTTCAATCATAGTGGCTCTGGGACTCTCAAAGTCTGGGTTTGGAAGGTGGCTTCTTCTTACATGTCTCAGGGCTGGATACAAACCTGGCTGGGGAACTTGAGCGTCGGGTAGCTCAGGTACTTCCAAAGTATTTTCCACTTAACCCTTATGACCATTCACCTAGAGCCAGCAGAAGCTTCCCAGCTCCCACTGTGAACCAGGACTAAATCCCGCTGGTTTTTAAGGCAGCTTCTCAGGCAGTGGCAGGAGCTGTATGATTTCCTTTTAGTACCATAAGATCCCCTTATTGAGGCCTGGGACAGTGTACCAGGGCAACAACTTTTGGTAACTAGATTTCCTCTGGTAAGGGTAGGATTCCCTGGGCAGACATAGAAGGCTTGGGCTTGTAACCATCTCTCATGAGTGTGGTCCCCACACTCAAGGGGGGTCTGTGTTAACACTGTTTTCCCATGCCTGTTTTTCATCTATCCTGCTTCAATTTTCCATAAATGACTTCTGTCCCTTGATCTTAAGAGGGGTTGTTGGGTGATGAGCCATCTTCTGTCACTGCTCCAAGCTGAATAGGGACCCTAGTCTTGTCCTAGCTTACCATGGATAATGTGGGAAACTTAGTTGTCAGGTGGACAGGATCAGATGGCATTAGGAACAGTTTTTTGCTCCAAATTGGAAAGGAAGCCATATGAGAACTTAGGGAAGATAGCAAGCCACAGAAACAATACAAGGAACAAGACATCAGTGTCTTCTATATATTAATTCCAAAAGAAAAACCATTAGGTAAGGAGCTCATTACAGCCAAGAGCAGAGTTACATACAACAGGTAACATTTTACAACTGCGCAGATTTCCCCTTGGACAATGGTAGTGTGTTCTGTCTAGCACTCTGCAAAAGAATTTTCCTGTCTGACTGGGGAAGCTGACCTTTGCTGACTCTCACAGTGCTTAAGTTACCTGTGCAAGACTCCAGATAGTCCAGTAGGGACAGGATGTCAGGTCCATGCCCTACTGGGGGACAAGTCTCCTTTCCACTATTGGGGAAGCAGAATGCACACCGAGCTCAGGGGAGGCTGGGTACACAAAGGTTAAAAACCACACAAGCAGGAGTTTGTCTTTATATCGTAACTAGCCTTTTGCAAGCAAGCAAACAGGTACAGAAGGAATATTTGCAGTTAGTCTTGCAACTGATAGTTTTGGTTTCACAAGCTAAGTGTTATAAAACAGAAACAACAGGGGGAGCATTGTCTGAACATTCTCTGGCTTTTCTGAGAATCCTGGCTTCTTTCTCCTTAACCATCTGCAGGGCTTCAGGCTTTGGTTTTGTCTCCCTTTCCCTGAAGTCCAAAGTTCCCCATCACTAGTTCTCTTCCCTGAAGTCAGAAGTTCCCTAGCAACCCTCCAGACTGGGACAAACCCCTGGCACAAATCCCAGGGACCTTGCTACAACCTCCCAGCTCTGGCTACTTTTGAAGGGCCACACACAAGTGACACCATCCTTTCTCATCTGAGTGCAGTTCTCCCACCTGCCTCTAGGTGCTCCCTTGTTGCCAGGACAGTCTGTCCCAGAACTGTCTTCTCCTTGCTGGAAGGATGTCCCAGTTAACATTTCTTTTGTCAGACATGGGGCTTGAACACAGGGCCTAGGTGCCATCTCTGAACTCTTTTTGCTCAAGGTTAGCGCTGCACCTCTTGAGCCACAGGGCCATTTCTAGTTTTTGCTGTTTACTTGGAGGTAAGAGTCTCACAGGGACTTTTCTGCCAGGCTAAGTTTGAACTGTGATCCTCAGATCACAGCCTCCTGAGAGCTAGGATTACAAGTGTTAGCCACCAGGGTAAGAAATGAGATGTGGCTCATGCCTGTAATCCTAGCAACTCAGGAGGCTGGGATCTGAGGATCATAGTTCAATGCCAGCCCAGGCAAGAAAGTCTGTGAGATTTTTTATCTCCAATAAACCACCAGAAAACTAGAAATGGCTCAAGTGGTAGAATGCTAGCCTTGAGCTGAAGAGCTGAGGGACAGCGCCCAGGCCCAGAGTCCAAGCCCCACAACTGACAAAAAGAAAGGAAGAAAGAAACAGAAATAAGAGGTGAGTGAGAGCAACTAATATGAAATCAAGGGCTTATTGGGGGCAGACCCAGGCTGCTCCAAGCAGGAATGAGAGGGATGGGGTGGGAAAGAATTGAACTGTTCTGACATTTACAAGACAAAAAAGTTGGCTATGCCCAACCCCATCCTGTGTCAGCTACACAGGCCTGGCAGGTACAGAGGTGAAGGTTAACACAGGGAGTTTGTTTTGAGACAGAGACAGAGACGCACAGAGAGAAGGTCAAGCAAGAACCAAGAAAGCCTGAGTATATAACCTCTGACCACTTACCATTGTGGTGGTAGAAATTGTCCAGATCTGAGAGTATTGTAAGGTAGCTAGATCTAATTGCAAAGAAAACAAATGAGACATTTTGGCTTTTTGTGTGTGTGTGTGAAAATACTGTATAGAGGGTATTTTGGCTTTATGTATAAAGGGAGTCTGGTGAGGACATGGAGGTGGAGAGTTTTTATGGGGGGGAAGACTGAAAAATAAAGTGGGAATGGAAGAGAGCCATGCCCGCAGGAGTGGATGGCTCAGTGCGGGTGAAGCAGTGGAGGGTGTCCGCCACACAGCTCAAAAATTTACTGGGAGTCTCATTGGGATGCTGAATTACCTCCCTCAACTTATAGTCGATAGGCTTGCAGGCAGTCCAGTCTAGGCTATGGAAGGAGGCAGAGTGCCAAGTCATCTCTAAGAGTCAGATGGGGGTAATCAGGCTCCTAATTCCACCCTGGGTTGGAGTGAGGTACAGCTTCCTGAACAACAGGTTTCTGACTATGGTATTTAAATTCCTATCTGGTGTTAGGTTTTTAAAAAGAGGTTGAGTAAGAACAGCACCAC